GCTGCTCCTCATTCCCGACCCGCAGCCCCAGGAAGTCCAAAGCCGTCTGCGGAGAGTTACGAAGGGATCTCGCAAAACGGGCGGCTGGGCGACAAAACCGCCAATGAAATTCAACGTTGATCAATGCAAAGCAGCACTGCACATGGGAAACCATAATCCCAACGAACAGACAGGGTCTAAATGCTGTTATCACTCAGGAAAGAGATCTCAGCGTCAGGGTGGAGAGTTCTCTGAAAACATCCGCTCGATGCGCAGCGGCAGTCAAAAAAGCCAACAGAACGTTAGGAACCAGTAGGAAAGGGATAAATAATAAGACAGAAAATATCATGTTGCCTCTATATAAATCCACGGTACGCGCACACCTTGACTACTGGGTGCGGATTCGGTCGACCCAGCTCAAAAAAGATACATTGGAATTGGAAAAAGTTCAGAAAAGGGCAACAAAAATGATCAGGGGGCTGGAACGGCTGCTGTACGAGGAGAGATTAATCAGACTGGGACTGTTCAGCTTGGAACAGCTTAGGCCAACCCCCTCCCCCCCCCGAATTTCACCATCCGTGCTCTGCAGTACGGGGGTGCCAGTGACCCCTTTCACACAGCAAGCCTCTGAGTGTGACCCCCCCCTTATAAATTAAAAAGGGAGGGTAATTTAATGGGGGCCTAGGGCTGGCAGCCCCATGGACCCCCATGTAACCACCTTGTGACTCCCTGAGGGGTCACGACCCCCCGTTTGAGAACCCCTTTGCTAGAGCAATGGTTCCTAAACTTTAACAACCTGTGAACCCCTTCAAGTCTCGCAAACCCCCTCCTAAACATGAATATTTCCAGGGATTGTCTCCTTTACCTGAGCAAGCAGTGATCTCGGAAATATAAAATTTGTTTTTATGACATGCGTATTACACACTATTTATTATCAATTATTATTTATTATGACAGTATTTTTATTACATTATGAAAACGGCAACACTCATCCAAGATCTCGCTTTCGTAGCTTGTATCGCTTTGAATAAGCCTGTTATAAGACAAGCCTCCTATGTTTCATCAAGGAGTGTCAGCTGTGAAACAGCAGGAAGGTATTTAAGAAGCCAACTCAAAGACTTCCTCCTACACAAGCATTCAGGTCTTGAGCAGTCCAGGCAAACAACGCAAGTTACAACAAAGCTTAAACTTGTTCTTCATAATCATTTTAAAAACAATACTAGCTGCCTATTTCATTCTAAAAACAGCCAAAGATATCCACCTCCCTTTCCATTTCTTATAAGGTGTCTTGAAGTTTAAATCTCCTCAGTGTGATAGATAGGTTTGCTTTCATCTGCTTAGCTCTTGGAAGTCCAGGAGCTTCGGGCTGCTGGCCCCGTGCTGCCCGAGGTCCCTAGGGACAGCTCTGTCCGCCATTAGGGAATTTTTTCCTGAGAACCCCCTGTAACATTTCGCGAACCCCAGTTTGGGGACCACTGTGCTAGAGGGTCTCAACAACACAGCGGTCAGCATTGAACCTGGGCCAGCAAACCGGTCGGGGGATATGATGGAGGTCTATGAAATCCTGACTGGTGTGGAGAAAGTCATTAAGGAAGTGTTATTTACTCCTTCTCATAACACAAGAACTAGGGTCACCCAATGAAATTGACAGGCAGCAGGTTTAAAACAAACAAAAGGAAATACTTCTTCACATAACACACGGTCAACCTGTGGAACTCCTTGCCAGAGGATGTTGTAGAGGCCAAATGTATAATGGGGTCTGGAGGACCCCATTAGCCAAACTGGTCAGGGACGCAAACCCATGCTCTGGGTGTCCCTAAATCTCTGGAGCCAGAAGCTGGGACTGGACGACCGGAAATGGATCAGTGGATCATTGTCTGTGACGTTGCACTCCATAATATTTTATGGAAATATGCTAATGAGTGTGAATATGGTGTAACTGGAATATGCTTTATGCAAAAGGTCTCTTGTACGGTATCATTACAAAGCTTATAATCTACTGAGTGTGGTCATCCAATTTGTATGAATGTATCATTCTTGTATCTTAAACTAGGAATATGAAGTATAACTCTGAGGTCCTACTGTAGTTATGCAAAGTGTGGGCCATTAATGGTGGTTTAGAATCCTGATGGCTCCCATTGACTAGGACAATTGGTTGTAAATGGTTCTGTTTACCTGCAAACCTTCCTCTGTATGTGTAGGCCAGCCCAGGAAGAATGAAGACTCTCACAGGGGTCTCACAGGACATGTGACCATGTCACATGATACTGGAATCCATATTAAACCTGGTGCTTTTCCATTTAGAAGGAGGGGTGGGAACCCAGAGAGACAAAAGATTCCCACCTTGTGCCAAAGTGATAAAAGGGGATGGAACAGAACAAAGTGGGTCCCAGTCATGAAAAAGCCCCTAGTTTCCACCTAAGATGCCTGCTGGAACTAACAAGGACTGTACCAGGGGAAAGGATTGGGCCCAGATTAGGAAGGAGTCTAGTCTGTGAAAGAAGCTTATTGGAACATCTCAGTAATCAGTTTCTTAATGTATTAGGCTTAGACTTGCGTATTTTGTTTTATTTTGCTTGGTAACTTGCTTTGTTCTGTCTGTTATTACTTGGAACCACTTAAATCCTACTTTTTATACTTAATAAAATCACTTTTGTTTATTGATAAACCCAGAGTAAGTGATTAATACCTGGGGGAGCAAACAGCTGTGCATATCTCTCTATCAGTGTTATAGAGGGCGGACAATTTATGAGTTTATCCTGTATAAGTTTTATACAGAGTAAAACGGATTTATTTGGGGGTTGGATCCCACTGGGAGCCGGGTGTCTGGGTGCTGGAAGCAGGAATACCTGCTGAGTGGTTTTCAGTTAAAAACTGCAGCTTTGGGGGCGTGCTTCAGACCCTTGGTCTGAGTTGCAGCAGACTAGCGTGTCTGGCTCAACAAGGCAGGGTTCTAAAGTCCCAAGCTGGCAAAGAAAACGGGCGCAGAGGTAATCTCAGCACATCAGGTGACTGTCCCAAGGGGGTCTCTGTGACCGAACCCGTCACATTGCCCTGTTCTGTTCATCTCCTCTGAAGCACCTGGCCCCAGCCACTCTCAGACGACAGGATACTGGGCTACACAGTTCGTTGCTCTGACCCAGTGCGGCCGTTCTTACTTGTTATGATCCCAGCCACGTGGCCGGTGCCCCTGGGAAGTTGCTTTAGGGGAGAAAGTCCTTTAGCCCAGGATCTGAGCCTGTGAAAGTGACATTTCAACTCAAACAGTGGTCTTCTGCGTTGGGTTTCCCGGTAGCCCGCTCTGTTTCCACCCTCCTGCCTCAGCAGCTCGGCTGTCGTCAGCGGTGGTAATAACCTTCTGGTTGTTTCCGTTGTGGTGTCCCGAAGGCCTGACCCTGAGCTGGGACCAGCTGTGGGTATCCGGCCATACTGCTCGTTACCATGTGCGTCCGTGTCAGGGGCTGCACGCCGCCGGGCAACGCCTGCAGAAGGGGCTTGGGGTGCCACCGCTGATACCCCGCAAAGCAAAGCACAGGCCGACCTAGCCCAGAGGCGATTGCTCGGGGGGGCTGGCGGTGTCCTGGAGCTGACAACCAACAAACCAGTGGTCTGGTTTCCAGAACCAGCGGAATCAATTTGGCTAAAATTCTCCCCCCAAAATTCATCCCACGGCGGCCGCCTGGGCTGGGGCAATTCCATCCCCAATGACGAACATCTGGCAAAGTTATCAGCATTTGGAAAACAGGGGCTTCTAATGGGAAGAGTCTTTCCCCAGCTCTGGGAGGGGAGTGAGGTCTAGTGGTTAGAGCGGGGGGGGGCTAGGACTCCTGGGTTCTCTCCTCCTGTGATGAAGTGGCAATGTTCTTAATGTTTTGTATGAATATGCTGTGTGTGCCTCAGTTTCCCCTGTGTGTTACTCAAGTATCTAGGTGGTGGGACAAGGGTGTGTGATTATTGCAGAGCCCCCTAGAGGGCGGGTGCGATGCCGACGGGCTGCCTGGGCTCAGACAATGGCTGACATTCCGTGTCCAGGCAACTGATGGCCGGGGCCCACCCTCTGCGTGAGCCAGCCGGAGGTGCTGGAGAACAAAGCGAGAGGTGGCGGCCAGGGACCTGCTTGCCCAGGAAAGAGACGAAGGGCGGAGGAGGGGCAGCTGGGCGTGAAGCTGGAAGCGGGTCAGTCTCCTGGTTTGGGACTTGGGTGGGAGGAGCCCGGGGGGGGGCGGTTCTGGATCCCCCCAAGATGGACTTTGCTGACTGCTCCTGATTTCAGTGCTAATGAGCTCTGTTCTACACTGTGCTCCCGATGACTAATAACCCTTCTGTTTTCCACGCTGGCTGAGAGTCCCTGCTGAGTGCGGAGGTGGGCTGCAGGGGGTTGTGTGAGGCTTCCCCAGGGGTCCCAGCCAGGTGGACTCACTGCGGGGAGCTCACAGTGTGAACAGGGGCGCTGAAGCCAAGGAGGGATGCCCTAGGCAGAGTGGGCCCTGGAGGATGTTGCATTGCGACGAGGAACCTGTCTGACTTCATTCGGCGCGGTCCCAGAGCACCACGCCTGCGCACTTTGTTACCCCTCCACAAGCTCCCTCCCCTCTCGCTGCCTCAGTTTCCTCCTCTGAAGACTGGGGCTACCAATCCTGGCCAGGCTTTGAGATCTATGGGACAGAAGGGCCCATTATTATAATACACCCCCTCGCTGCGGGTCGCCTGTGGCCCTGTCCAGCTCCCAGCCCTGTCAAACAGGGCTCCGGCCAGCCAGGCAGAGACTCAATTCAGCAGGGGGTGGGAGTGGCGAGTGTCTATTACCCCTGTGTCAGGGAGCCCAGCTGTGGCAGAGTGGGAATTTTTCATAATAATTTGTATTAATATGGTGTGTGCCTCAGTTTCCCCTATGCAGTGCCTGGTTAACTAGGTGGTGGGAAAAGGCTGTTTACTCTTTGCAGAGACCCAGGTGTGACTGATGTCAGCTGTCTGGGGCCGGGCCCCTGGCCCATGGAGGGTCCCAGAAGATAATGGCCCGGCTATATGGCCCCCCTCCGCAGGAAGCGAGCCAGGTGTGAGCAGCTGGAGGACAAAGGAGGGGGAACCAGGTGACCAGGTGTCCCAAACCCAGGCCAAAGGCTGGAGGAGAGGCTGGGGGGTCACTCCATGTGGGGCACTGGGAGCGGGACGCTCTTTGGGACTGGGACTTGGGGGTGGGCAGAGCAGAGCTCGGGGCTCTGGCCCAACCCACATGGACTTTGCTGTAACTTTAACCAAGGACTGTCTATGCTGTGTCCTGACCCCTCCTGCATCCACACTGCTGGCTGAGTCACTCCAGATCAAGGGAACGTGGGGGAGGGAGGAACCTGGCTCCCATTTGGGGTGTGTCTACCTCCATGGTCCGATCCCGGCGGTCTCGCTGCGGGAAGCACCCGGCATGCCCCAGGGGGATGGCAGGCTCCAAGGGCCGGTCCCCGGAGGTGGTGTGAAGCCGAGGGGTTGACCCCAGTGAGTGTGACCCACAGGGGGCTGACGTACCATCGGGCTCCTCCCAGGGACTGCTCCAGAGCCGGGCCAGAGCACCGGATCTGGGGATCCGTGACGGGGGGTGGGGGAGAGCTTGTGGCAGCCGTGGCCAGAGGCTTCCCCTTGGAGCACTCAGGCGGCTCCGAACCGTGGCCCAGTGGCAGGGGGCCTCCCGGGTCTGCCGCGCCCGCGCTGCCTGGTAAGGCCTTGGCCGATCCAGCCCCGGGCTGTCCCCCAAGGCCACAGGGGGCTCGGCGAGAGGAAGATGCTGTCACTGTGGTCTAGGGCCCGCCGGGGGCACACGGCGTGTGAACGCCTGCATGTGGGGCAGATCCTAGCAGCCCGTGGTGTACACTCTTCCCCAGCATAGCCTGAGCCAGGGCAGGCAGGAGCAACGCCCTCAGACCCCGCGCTCTGCTCCCACCGGGGCTGGAGGCGGGGCAGAGGGGGCAGAGCAGAGAGGTGGGGCGGACCAAGCCATGCCCAGAGGAGGGGCAGAGCGGAGGGGGTGGGGCGGACCGAGCCATGCCCAGAGGAGGGGCAGAGCGGACGGGGTGGGGCGGACCGAGCCATGCCCAGAGGAGGGGCAAAGCGGAGCGGGTGGGGCAGACCGAGCCCTGCCCAGAGGAGGGGCAGAGCGGAGGGGGTGGGGTGGACCGAGCCGTGCCCACAGGAGGGGCAGAGCGGAGGGGGTGGGCACCGGAGAGGGGAGCGGAGTTGGGGGAAACCCAATGCCCAGCCGTCTGAGCAGACGTATCGAGTGGCTGAAGGCACCCTGACCCCCAGAAATATTCCACGCATGTCCGATTGCAGCCAGCAGGAGGCAACGGGCTCACACCCACGCCCCTCGGCCTAACAAATTTGTAGGGATATTAAAGAAGGTACTAACAGTGATTCCCCCAAGTGACAGTGACCCCCCCATAATTTGTCCCCCACACTTTAAAATCCAACAGTTTCACCAAGTACAAAAATCTCTTGGGTCTCCTGTTAAAACTTGTAAGCTACTGTCTGTAGAAACCATTGATTGTAACTGTCCTGGGAAAGATACTTTATTACTATGTAAAACTTACAAACAAGTTAATTGACTTTGTTCTTAAAGTGAACACTATGTTACCACCCCTGCTGTGAGCCTTAAGCCAGTAAGTGACTTTCACTTCATTGTAACAGCAACGGCTCCTAGGAACAGACCCCCCCCACCGTCTGTGATTAAAGGGCCGGGAGTCTCAAATGAATTAGCACACACCCCGAAAGTGGTGGAGACAGTAAATTAAAATATGGTTAAGATATGGAATGTATGTTGATGAATGCTTGATGTACATGAATGGTTAGGGAGGTGCCAGCCTATAAAGGGAGTATCCGCCGAAGAATGTGTCAAGTGGACCACCAGACAACCCCCGGAGGGTAAACTGGGATCCACCCCATCACCTGGAAGGATGAGAAACACAAACTTTGGACAGTGTGGAGCCACCAGGAATGTGCCATCTGCTGATTGAGTCAGCAACAGCAGGATGAAACAGCTCCCATAGACTAACATAGGAATTAAATCCTATAAGAATGGACTCACAAGACTGAGGACTTTGAGCGTCTGGTTGTGCTGCCAGCCTCCAGGAGCATCAGGTGCATCTGACACAGACTCGGCTCCATCCTCATGACCAAGATACGTGGCCAGTAACTTGGCATGAGCAACTTCTAGGCTGGTAACTATAACTCCTATACAGAACTTGAATGAATGATTGTGTAAATGAATCTATATATATATGTGTGTGTGTGTGTGTGTGTGTAAGGAATAAGTAGTGATAGGAATAAGTAGTCAAACAACGTTGTTTACTTTTATCTTTTGCTTTATCATTATATTTACAATAAATGTGGCATCTTTGCCTTATCCCTCTTAATAAGATCCTGCTGGTTTTTATTCTATTGGTATAACAAATTCTTCAGTCTCCTGCATGCGTTTGGTGCTCAGAATAAATTCCTGGTCAGCCTCCGGAGGTGGGACCCGCCTGTGCCCGGCCTCGTAGCAGCTCACTGATTGGCCGTCTCCTGTGCTCGTTGCCCGACTGCGCGGTAGTTTCGCCCCTTTGGTTTTATCCACATATTGGTTTATTTACCACCCGCTGCTGGGGAGAATCAGACCAGTTTCCCCCCCACACACACACACCTCACCCCTGGCTGGGTGCAATTAGGAGTGAGTCCAGAGCTGGGAAACAAGGCCAGGCGCTGCTGAACAGTAGCCATGAGTGGATGCACTGCTGTGGATAATAACGCCCGTCTCCATAGGGTGAGCACTGTTAAAACCAGTACGGCAGCAGTCCAGGCCCCGAAGCACTTGCAATCTGAAGTAGACACAAGGCACATCACAACAGACCGGCCTTTCGACGCTGAAAGGCAAACGTTATAAACGGGAGCAAGGACAAGGCAACATGCCTGGTGCTTCTGGATACAAACGTGGCTTGTTACTGCTTTCAGTAGGTGACACGGACCGAAAGAATATGTAGACAGTGGAAGTGTTACAGGATTTGGAACTCTTGTGACTTTATCACAAGTCTCTTGCTATTTGGTCCTTTGCTAAAATCCCCACCTCCTGGAGTCATGTTATTTTGTGAGAGTCATAGAGATGTCAGGCAGGAAGGGGCCTTGTGAGTTCATAAGAATATAAGAAAGAACGGCCATACTGGACACCAATGGTCCATCTAGCCCAGTAGCCTGTCTTCCGACAGTGGCCAATGCCAGGTGCTTCAAAGGGAATGAACAGAACGGGGCAATTATCCAGTGATCCAATCCCTATCATGCAGTCCGGGTTTAGGGGCACCCAGAGCATGGGGTTGCGTCCCTGACCATCCTGGCTAATAGCCATTGATGGACCTGTCCTACAGGAACTTACCTAATTCTCTTTTGAACCCTGTTATAGTTTTGGCTTTCACAACATCCTCTGGCAAGGAGTTCCACAGGTTGACTGTGTATTGGGTGAAGAAATACTTCCTTTTATTTGTTTTAAACCTGCTGCCTATTCATTTCATTTGGTGACCCCTAGTTCTTGTGTTATGAGAAGGAGTAAACAACACTTCCTTATTTACTTTCTCCAAACCAGTCATGATTTTATAGACCTCCATTGTATCCCCCCTTAGTCATCTCTTTTCCAAGCAGAAAAGTCCCAGTCTTGACTGCCACTGCACATTGAGTGGATGTTGAGGGACGGGGTTCATCCCTCCCCACTCTCCAGTCCCCTGCGTTTAGCATTTCAGCGCTGCCGAGAAGTTTCCCATTCAGCAGAGCTGACCGGTCCCCACCGCTGGCATCCTCCGGCTGCGTCAGCTCTGCCAGCTCCTGCATGGGGCCTGAGTCGCTGGCCTGCTGGGACGGGGCGGCTCTGGCAGGGAAGTCATGACGGCTGCAGAACGAGCGCATGTAGCGAGCAATATTCTTTATCTGCCATATCAACAGCGCCACCACCATCACTGACCCCACCACCGGCACCACCACCACGGCAATACGGCTGGACCAAGATCCGGGCTCTGCAACCAACGACAGGAATTGCGGCATTAGCGGGAGAATTGGTCAAACCCAGCCGAAAACTTCCAGCCTCTCCACCGCGCTCAGCGTTCCACCCGGCACGCGCAAAAGGGATTTTCTGATTCGAGACACTCCACAGTCCCCCGCTAATCGTGGGTTTGCCAATTTTCCTGGGGCTCCGAGGCGCTACCGTAACACACCATGACTGGGCCTGCTAGGCGCCATATACTTTAGGTTAAGGTTCACTTGATAGCTGGTTTATAAGGTGTTCATACATGGTGAATATACGGTCTCGGCATGCTAAAGACACATGTAACGCGTGTGCTTGTCTACACAGGGCCTCTCAGGAAATCTAATCTGACTTTTAAAGTGAATTAGTTAAACAGCATTAAACCCCTGAGTGGATGCTCTCCTTCAAGATTAAAGCAGCATGAATTCAATTTAGCTTAATTCACTTCTAAAGTGAATCAAATTCCGGCCACTTCAATTCTAAATAAGAGTGTCCACACAGGGGGGGTCAATGCGGTTTAGCGAATCCACTTTAAATTCAGGGCAAGTCTATACTACAAAATTAACTCCGACCTAAGTTACGCTGACGTACAGCCAGGGCAGTAATTAAATTGCTTTTGCATGTCCACACTGCACCCCTTGTGTCAGCGGCGCGCGTCCTCACCATGCCAGCGTGGGGCATTGTGGGACGGCGTCTGAAAAGCAGCAACAGGCGATGTCATTAGCGCCCCGGCATCGATCTAACTGCATCCACCCAAGCGCTAGGCCTCGCGCGGAGCTGGAGTTATTCCGTCGGTTCAGCGGGCGAGTTCCACGGGTGGGAGCTGCCTTTCAGTGTAGACACTGACAGAGTTAGGGTGACGTAAGCTGCCTTATGTCCACCTAACACTGTAGTGTAAACCAGAGCCTGCACTTTGACTTGATTCGGATTAATTTTCCTGAGTGGCCCTGTGTAGACAAACCCTGCAGCCACCATTCAACCCTTTCTTAAATTACTTCTACATGGCACCTCAATATAAAGTGTCACCCAAGAAATCAAGTCATAGTTGGGCACGGACGTGGGGTTGGGAGCCAAGCGGTCAGTACCTGGAGGTTCTGCCCCACCCACTCTGCTCCATCGGCCAGTTAGGAGCCGAGCAGGACAATCTGCCGAGGAGCCGGGCTGCAGCCAGAATTAGCTGGCGATCCCAGCAGTTCGGCAGCGCGTTCCCAGCCCCGTCACTCACCTGCAGCTGCTGTCCCGCTGCTGACCAGGGCCACCTGGGAGACCGGAGCTGAGGTTGGCGCAGGCTCTGGAATGAGACAATGCAGAGGCGGTTGCAGCGAGCGGATGCAGAGTCCCAGGAGGTCAGAGGAGAGGGATCCCATCCCCTCCAATCCCTTAAAATCTGCCCCCCGCCCCAATGCTACTGCGCAGAGTCAGAGCAGGGTGGGACCGAGAGGGAGCATCTGGCCCAGCCCCCGGCGCTGAGCCCAGACCAGTAACCCTAGATCCACCCTGGCAGGGGGTTTGTCTGACCTGTTCTTAAAAACCTCCAGTGACAGGGATTCCCCAACCTCCCTTGGAAGCCTGTTCCAGAGCTTCACCAGCCCTAGAGTGGAAAACCTTTTCCTCCTGCAGAACCAAAACCTCCCTTGCTGCAGTTTATCATAGAATCATAAAATATCAGGGTTGGAAGAGACCTCAGGAGGTTCTAGTCCAACCCCCTGCTCAAAGCAGGACCAATCGCCAACTAAATCATCCCAGCCAGGGCTTTGTCAAGCCTGACCTTAAAAACCTCTAAGGAAGGAGATTCCACCACCTCCCTAGGTAACCCATTCCACTGCTTCACCACCCTCCTAGTGAAATAGTGTTTCCTAATATCCAACCTAGACCTCCTCCACTGCAACTTGAGACCATTGCTCCTTGTTCTGTCATCTGCCACCACTGAGAACAGCCGAGCTCCATCCTCTTCAGAACTCCCCTTCCGGTAGTTGAAGGCTGCTATCAAATCCCCCCTCACTCCTCTCTTCTGCAGACTAAATAACCCCAGTTCCTCAGCCTCTCCTCGTAAGTCATGTGCCCCAGCCCCCTAATCATTTTTGTTGCCCTCCGCTGGACTCTCTCCAATTTGTCCACATCCCTTCTGTAGTGGGGTCCCAAAACTGGACGCAATACTCCAGATGTGGCCTCACCAGTGCCGAATAGAGGGGAATAATCACTTCCCTCGATCTGCTGGCAATGCTCCTACTAATGCAGCCCAATATGCCGTTGGCCTTCTTGGCAACAAGGGCACACTGTTGACTTATATCCAGCTTCTCGTCCACTGTAATCCCCAGGTCCTTTTCTGCAGAACTGCCGCTTAGCCAGTCGGTCCCCAGCCTGTAGTGGTGCATGGGATTCTTCCATCCTAAGTGCAGGACTCTGCACTTATCCTTGTTGAACCTTATCAGATTTCTTTTGGCCCAATCCTCCAATTTGTCTAGGTCACTCTGGACCCTATCCCTACCCTCCAGCGTATCTACCTCTCCCCCCAGCTTAGTGTCATCTGCGAACTTGCTGAGGGTGCAATTCTTCCCATCCTCCAGATCATTAATGAAGAAGTTGAACAAAACCGGCCCCAGGACCCAGGGCCGTCCTTAGGTATATGCAACATATGCGGCTGGGTAGGGCACCTGAAAATTTGGGGCACCACTGGATCTTAGTGTCCACCTTCCTGGCTTTCCTATCCCTGTTCTGACCCTTCCTGCAGGCTCCCACAGCTGGCTGCTGCAGCCTGATGAGTCTGCCTCGGGAGGGGATCTAGTAGTTAAAAATGAAAAAGCCTCCAGCCTGCCAGACCCGTTAGCACAACATTGAAACAGTTCAAGAGCCATTCAAGGGGTAATGAAGCCATTTAACAGCCATTTGCCAACCCCCAGGTCTATACGGTCAGTTTCTGAACCAAAACTGTTGTGCATGACTGTAATATTTACTCAGAACATGTCAGTCTACAGGACCTTCGTTTAAAAATTGCTTTAAAAATATTTCATTAGTGAGTTGGTGAAGATTATAAAATCACATCTCTAACTTACTTACAAAGTTTTTGCAAATAAATGTCTGACAAACTTCAGGGCATATCAAAAAACCTGTGACTGACATTTTTTATTCCCAAATTTAGTGCTTTTAATTAGGTACCTTCTGCATGTCCATTCTGCGTAAGGGAGAGGGTACAGGGGTCTCTGCGGGGAACTGTGACTCTCTGCCACCGTAAGGTGGGCTGGGCAACTTGTTATCCTTTGCTGTTTCATCCCTCCCCCCGGCCAGGCTGCGAGCTCAGGCTGCCATCAGGCATGGGGCACCAGTTTAATAATATTGCGTAGGGCCCCATAAATCCTAAGGATGGCCCTGCCAGGACCAACCCCTGGGGCACTCCGCTTGATACTGGCTGCCAACTCGACATGGAGCCATTGATCACTACCCGTTGAGCCCGACGATCTAGCCAGCTTTCTATCCACCTTACAGTCCATTCATCCAGCCCATACTTCTTTAACTTGCTGGCAAGAATACGGTGGGAGACCGTATCAAAAGCTTTGCTAAAATCAAGGTATATCACATCCACCGCTTAAGCCCATCACTGCTTGTCCTAGCTTCAGTGGGACTGAGAACAATTGATCCCCGTCCTCTTTATAACAGCCCTGAGCATATCTGCAGACTGTTCTCAGGTCCCACCTCAGTCTGCTTTTCTCAAGACTAAACATGCCCAGTGTTTTTAACCTTCCCTCCTAGGTCAGGTTTTCTAAACCTTTCATCATTTTTGTTGCTCTTCTCTGGATTCTCTCCAACTTGTCCACAACTTTCCTAAAGTGTCACACCCAGAACTGGACTCAGTCCTCCAGCTCAGACCTGACCAGTTCCCAGGAGAGCAGGACAATGACCTCCCGTGTCTTACATACAACACTCCTGGTAATACAGCCCAGAATAATATCAGTCTTTTTAGCAACTGCATCACACCGGGGGCTGCTATTCAATTTGTGACCTGCCCTAACCCCCAGCTCCTTTGCAGCTGTGCACGCCCCAGGCCAGTTATTCCCCAGTTCAGAGCTAGGCATTGGATTTTCCCTTCCTAAGTAACACACTTTGCACTTGTCTCTACTACATTTCATCTGCCTGAACTCAGCCCAGTTCTCCAATTTGTCCAGGTAGCTTGAATTCTCCCCCCTCTCTCTGTGGAAAGTGGAGCCTTCCTCTGTCCCGCAGCTGGAACTCCCCACGCAGCCCCGGCCAGGACCCCGCGGTGACGTTATCTGATTAAAATATGATCATGTCGATCATTGTTGCAACCACTGTTATATATTTACAACAAATCTTGCACAAAGGTTGCCAAGTGAGGCGTCTATGGAAAGGTTATGATTTGCTGAATATGATTATGCTATCTGTATGTATGGATCATTTTTGTATTTGACATTATGAGCATAGGTTCTGTACCTGGATTTCAAATGTTTGCTCCTGGGGTAACGCCCACAAGGTAGTTAGCCAGCACATCCTGGAGGCGGCTATTCAAATTGTGTGGCCCATCGAAAGAACATTTAACTCACAATGGAAGACGCCCACTTATCCTGAAGGGACTTTCCTCTGAACATGCTGTCTGAGGTATCGCTAATGGCTTCTACTGTGACTAAGCGGAATCATGCATGGACATGTGACTTGCCCATGTGACTTCAAACACCATCTGAGGGCTTTGTTTAAAACAACAGGTTTCCCTCCACATTGTAGAAGCTAAAAGTCCCTGGAAACATCTAATGGAAACCAAGGGCCTGAGGACCTTCCAATGATTTTGAAGCAGCCGGAGACTTGACTTAAGCCAGCAGTATATTCCATCACTGCTACAAGTCTGAACCAAGAACTTTGCAATTGTTGTATGTATGTGATTCCTTTAACCAATTTTAACTCTCACCTTTTTACTTTCTTTTTATACATAAAGGATTGGCATCAGTGTGATTTTGGGGTAAGATCTGAGTTGTATATTGACCTGGGTGTGTGGCTGGTCCTTTGGGATCAGAAGAACCTTTTAGGTGCCACCAGACTCCCTGTTGTTTTTGTGGATTAGGGTGACCAGACCTCCCGATAAAATCGGGACCGTCCCGATATGTAGGCATTTGTCCCGTGTCCCGACTGATGTTTGGTCGGGAGGCAATATTTCGCCGTATTCTGGGTTTTTTTGTTTTTGGGGTTTTTTTAGCTCCGACAGTGACGCTCCCCACCCTGTGTTCCAATATTTTCTTCCTCTCATCTGGTCACCCTATTGTGGATACAGACTAACATGGCTACCTCCTGATACTTTTATTTAATGAAATTGGTTTTAAAGAACCACTCATCTCAAAGTCGAGTGTTTTTGGTGGTGATACAAGGACTGGAGCGACTAAGGAAACTGCTGTTCTGACTTCCTGTTAGCCAGAAGTTTGCTTTTGTTGCTGGTTTGGTGTATCTCATGGGAGAATAACCTCCAGTTTTTGGGGTGTATCTGCCCAAAAGGATTAAAATTCAAAATGATCTGGACAAACTGGAGAAATGGGCTGAAGTAAATAGGATGAAATTCAATAAGGACAAATGCAAAGTGCTCCACTTAGGAAGGAACAATCAGTTGCACACATGGGAAATGACGGCCTAGGAAGGAGTACTGCGGAAAGGGATCTGGGGGTCATAGTGGACCACAAGCTAAATATGAGTCAACAGTGTAACGCTGTTGCAAAAAAAGCAAACATCCTTCTGGGGTGTATTAGCAGGAGTGTTGTGAGCAAGACACGAGAAGTAATTCTTCCGCTCTACTCCGCGCTGTCAGGGGCGTTTCTCGGGGCTGTGATACAGGCACGGGAGGGCAAGAACCCAAAGACATCAGCCAAGGGGCACCACTGGCCGCAGACTGGGATCCCGCTGTGCAAAGCAGGCAGCTGATGCTCCATGTTACACCTCAAAGGGGTGGAGGAAACTAGGCTCAGGTGGTTCACAGGTTCACAGGGAACAAACGTGTCAGTCTCTCTCTGCCAGAGCGGCAGCACAGCCTGTGAGAAGGAGCAGCAGCCTGGGCCTCAGGGGGCCTGGGTTTGATTCCCTGACCTGCCACTGACCTGCTGTGTAACCTTTGGTAAGTCACTTCTCTGCCCCGTGCCTCAGTTTCCCCCCTCAGACATTTTGTCTATTTAGATGGTAATTTCTTAGGGGCAGGGACTGATTCATTCTGTGTCTGGGCAGTGCCCGGCCCGACGGGGCCCTGATCTCAGTGACTCTGTGTCTGGGCAACACCCAGCGCAACAGGGCCCCAATCTCAGCGACTTTGTGTCTGGGCAGCGCCCGGCCCGACGGGGCCCCGATTTCAGTGACTGTCTGGGCCGCGCCCAGTAAAACGTAGACAAATGAAAGAAATGGCTGAACTGTCCCCAGGACCTGCCAGGAACTTGTAACCGAGAGAGCAGACCTGGTTGAGGGGTTTGAAAGTCCGACCCCTACCAGACCCTGAGGTCGGAGCTGGGGCTGATCTCTGTTTAGCTGTCAGCGGGCGTGTTGGGCAGTTTCTTATTTTCCATGTTTTCTCTGTGCTGCTAGGACTAAATGTGCTTTGCTTTGCGGTGGCTGGTTGGTACCTGGTGTATGTTGTCGCAGCCCCGGAGAAAAGGAAAGCACAGGTGCTTAGGGTGACCAGATAGCAAGTGTGCAAAATCGGGACAGGGAGTGGGGGGTAATAGGCACCTATATAAGACAAAGGCCAAGCCCTGAATATCGGGACTGTCCCTATAAAATCAGGACATCTGGTCACCCTAAGGGTGCTGGACCACGCTCAGATGTGCTGGGAAACTCACAGTGACGTTCAAACCCAAACCCAACCCCCCAGGCTGGAGGGAGGGAGACAGACGCAGGCCTCCGCCTGTGAGAGGGGGCGGCTGGGAAGCTGGAAACCTGACATCCGGGCCCTCCAGAGGCCAAGGGGAAATCCACGGTGCGGTTACCCCTGAAATTGTGACCCACGGCACTCACCTGTTACAATCAGACGGATGAAAACCAGACACTTGCTTTTGTTCATCTCAGATTCAATCTTGTACACCCCTGCAATGGCTTTGCTGGCGTTAAGCACGGTGAGCCATCTGTTGGATATGGAGATGCACCTGGCGAAGGAGCTGTCGAGCGGGTTTGATTTCCCTGGACGGATGACGGCTATCGGCACCCATGTCCCAGCCAAGGCATCGTACCAGGACAGCTGGGCAAAGCGCTCCGTGAGGTTAAGGGGCTGTTGCGCGTCGCCACCCTCGGGCACAGACAGAGGGATGTCCTGTTGACATTGGCTGGGGCCTGTGAGAAGAAATCAACATTTCAGGCCAGCTTTGGTGAAGCCTGGAAGAAGTCAGACCCAGATCTGGCGGGGGAGGGAGGGATACGTTCCGGGGAGCGCTTCAGATATAAGGCGTAGACCCTGCAAATGCTCAAGCAAGCCTTGCACCGCGGGCATAGCATCACCCTCAGCTCGCTGCTTGAGGGAGCGTCTACACGGCAATACGAGCCCTGCTGCGCCGAATCGCAGGGTGGGTCTACACAGCAACCAGACACCCCCGGGTGCCCCATGCCAGCCGACTCCGGCTCGTGGGGCTCGGGCTGCGGGGCTGTAAAATGGCTGGGTAGATTTGCGCTCCCACAAATGGGGAGGGTCTCAGAGCCCAGGCTCCAGGCTGAGCCCCCAACGTTTACACGTCTGTCTTTAGCGCCCCCCCCCCCCGCAAGCCCGAGTCAGCTGAGCCGGCCTCGGTGCTGCGGGGGAGGGGAGGGGGGCTTGGTAGTGTAGACACCCCTGAGTGTGTGCAGAATCAGAGCCAAAATCACTAAACCGCACCAAGATCCCGGGCAGGGTCTGTGCAGTGCCCGGCACAATGAGGGCCTGGGTCTCCACACACATATCCCACAATGCGCTGTGTTCCACACATCCCTCTTCCCTCTCCAAATGGCCTCCCGGCGCATCCCCTCCCCCCCCCCATTTCCCTTCTGGCCTCTCACTTTCGGGGAACCCAGCCCGGCACAGAGCTCCCCGGGCGGCACTTACGGGTGTCCGGTACCGCTTGCCCAGCGCGCCGGAGTAAGACGACGACGTTAAAGGCGATGCTTGCAAAGGCAAAGGGATGGGTTTGGTTTTTACACCTCGTGGCACCCGAGCTGTACCCCGCCATGCTGCACTTCTGAGTCTGGCGCCCACATGGTCATCCGGGCACCCCCTAAGCAGGCCCGCCCCTTCACCCTGCCTCCTCCTGCGCAAAGCGTATCAACCCGGACGCTGGCCATTCTGCAAAACTCCTGCGGGGCCCCCCAATGAAAAAAAAAAGCCTTCCAAACAATCCAGACGGCACCGCGAGTGGGATGGCGAGAAATCGATCCGCTACACGTGTCCGCATTTGTACGTCCTATGCCAAGGAACGCCCTCAAACACATTTAAAAGAGGGCAATCTTCGTCGCTGTGTTATTTTGAAGAACTAGTTTTTATCCCCCATTCCTCCAGCGCTCTGCGTCAGTCACTGTGCGCCTCTCTGCCTCACGCAGGCACCAGGCCGGCAAAGCACGTTAGCGGGTGCTCTGTTTTAAGCATCTCAATCGTCCCCTGGAAGCAGGGACCCCATGAAACACGAGAGGTCTCGTTTTTCTGTGATTCTGCAGGGGAGACTGAATATGGCCGCTGCATATTTTTAGACCCGTCCTGCGAGAGTTATGGCGTCTCAGCGCCTTGGCAGGTCTAACAGCGACTGTCCGAGAGATCCCTTGTTTTCTCCTAGGCGCCTAGCAGGAAATCCACAAACTGTCGTTCCTACGCATGCTGTATATCATTCTTCTGGGGCTCGGTGTTTTAAATCCATCTGTGCCCTTTGAGTGGCTTGTTATGCATTTGAAACCTATTTCAGCCCAAAAAAGAGTGACACCCTCTCCCCCCCCCCCAAGTCCTCCAGTGTCAAACAGCAAGCGTGGGCGTCTTACTTCCTGAAAAGCAAGTTTCCTCCACATCTTTCCTTCCCCAGGGCTGCTGGCGATTCCCCCTGTTAGAGAGGCCCACCGATAGAGCAAAAATTGAGCAGGCAGGAAAAGCAGACCGGAGGTGGCTACATCCTTGTGACAATGTCAGAGCAAGAGCGAGTAGGCGCAGCTTTTCCCACGCCACCCCTCCGGCCCCGCATGGCCAAGTTTCACTTCTCAGTTTTACGGAAGCAACAGCTGCAGCCTTGGGCCTGGCGTTTGTCACCGGTGCAAAGAAAAATAATTAAAAGCCCCTCCCCCGAGGATTCGCGTCTCAGGAGGGTCCCCTGCCAAAATCGCCAGGTTGGCTTAGAAATTGGGAGCTGAACGGGAAACGCCAGGGGCTCTGCCTTTGCCTTCGGGACTTTGAGCCGTGTGGCCTGTTCCCTGCCCCGAGGGCCAGGAGCTTCAATATTTTGTTTTCGATGGAACTTCCTTGAACCCAGGCGCCGTGGTCAAGAGGCAAGGAGCGGGGCAGGCCTGGGGTGTGAGGCCGTGAACGGGAGCTTGGGGCAATGGGAGGGAGTCAGCGGGGCCCAGGAGCAATGGGGGGGGGGCGGGGGGGCAGCAGGGGGGGCCGGGGGGGAGGTGGGGGGGGGGGGGGTGGGGAACCGGTGGAGTTGGGGATTGGGGGGATGTGAAACTTAACAAGCAGCACACAGCTGTCACCAAGCCATGTCTCTCTCTTGCACACACACACACATCCCCACCGGGTGAGGCGGCCAAAAACCAGGGTTATCGGCTCATTCCCCAGCCACGCACGTGTCCAGCAGCGGCCCAGCCTTGGGGAGGGGGAGCCGTTATTCCTAGAAAGCAGCTGGGGGGTGGGAACTGGAGCCGTCTCCTCTCTTCTCCCATCGGACTGAGGCCAGCGAGTTGGAGCCAAAATGATCAGACAAGAGGGGGTGACGGGGAGGGAATTGGCCCAGGCTAGCGCTGCGGGTGGCGGCACCAGGCGGCTCCGCTCCACGCCGGGCAGTGCAAGTTCTTGGTCTGAGCGGGGGAGCCGTGAGCTCACTGCAGGCAGGCGGCGTCGGCTGCCCTAGTCTCGCTCCCTGGAACCAGTCGCTGGCGTCCGAGCAGAGATTCCTGGGCGCTGTTTGTGACCACCCCTGTTCCAGGCCTGGGGCCAATAATAAAATAGCTTATGCTAGCAAACCAGCTGGAGGCCATGGCTCCCGGTGCTCCGGCAATGGGAAATTGACGTGCCAGGCCTCACGTTGCTCCCATTTGGCTTAGGGGCGAACTCCCCACCCCATTCCTCCATGCTCAGCCCCAGGGAAAAGGCAGCTGTGCCCCCAACCCAGCCCCTTGCTGGCTAGTGTGTGCCAGCACCTTGCAGCGCTCAGCTGCTCCAACAGGGACACACACAGAGAGCAGGGGGCAGCAGGATTTACACACACACACACACACACACACACAGAGCAGGGCCCAGCCCCTCCGGCGGGGGTGTCAGGGACATACACACACACAAACAGCAGGGCCCAGCCCCTCCAGTAAGAGGCACCAAGGACACACACACACACTGCACCCCATATTCTTCACAGTTATATTATTATGATAAGATTATGGCATAATTATGATGCATTTTGTACAAGACGGGTCATGCGAGGTGTCACTGGAAAGGTTATGGTTTGCTGAATATATTTGTATCTGGAGTTAGGAATATTGACGATGTGCCTGTATTTCAAATGGGCTTACCCTGGGTGACACCCACAAGCAGCCTTTCAGGTACAACAATGAAGCCAGACAGTGCTGATGGCCCATCAGCAAAGACAATGGACCCTGAAAGAACTTAACCTTCCTGTGGACCTTCCAGACCGTCTGTAAGTTATGGCTGCTGTGACGTTATGAGTGTAATATAATATTTCGTTGGAAGGTGACAGGGCCAGAAAGAGTTAATTAACTCACAGACTGACCTGACCCATGGGTGAACCTTAAGGACTGGTTAGGAAGATATGTAAATGAACAGAGCTTTGAAATGCAAGTCTGCATTGTTAGAGATCTCAAGGGTAGATGTTTGCTCAGGTCTAGTGATGTAAGCAAACAAGTCTTGTCTATTGCTGTAACTTTAATTCAAAGATCAAAAAGGAATATTAACATTTATGATGATACCTGAGTGAAATGGTATTATTGTCTCTATGTCTCTTTGAAGGTTGTGGTAACCTGTATCTGAACTGTTTAATGGATAAATTACCCTGTGCCAATTGCCAGGATGTTTGGAAGGAGAATTAAGCCTATTGTTTTCTCAGGTCGAAAGGCTGCTGGAAATGTATAAGAACGCTGGGACATGATCCTTCTGCATCTCAGATCTGCTTTGGGTTTCAAGAGGGGGAAATCTTAAACCACAAGGATTGAGATCCCCAGTCACTGACTGGAGCCACCCTGAATATGGACATTGGACTATAACCTATGGACTATATCTAAAAGGACTTCTGGCAACTACAATCTCACCTCTGCTATGCATCTGAACCTCAAGAATTGAATTCAAGTCTGTATGTATATTGATCTTTTAACCAACACTCTCTCTCTTTTCTTTTTGAATAAATGTTAGTTTAGTTAATAAGAATTGACTATAGTGTGTATTTTGGGTAAGATCTAAGTTATAATTGAACCTGGGTATGTGGCTGATCCTTTGGGATTGGAAGAACCTTTTCTTTTATATGATGAGATAAGATTTTCATTAATCATCATCATATCTGACAGGTGTGTCTGGACGGAGGTCTGAGGCTGGGCACTTTAAGGGAACTGCGTTGTTTGAACTTCTAAGTAACCAGTGTGGTACTACAGAAGCTGTTTTGTGCTGGTTGGTGAATCTAAGTATTGGAATAACTACCAGCTTTTGGGGTTTGTCTGCCCCGTTTTGTTTGCAGTTCACCCTAATTGAGTGACCTCAGCTGGCTCCCACTGGCAGCATTGTCACAGCTGCTATGACTCATGCAAGGTCATGTGACCAGGCCACATGTCTCTGGACTCCATCTTGGGATGTCAGTGTTTTTCCACAGACTGGTCTGGGAACCAAGTTTTCAGACAAAGGGTTCCTGCCTTATGCCAAAGCTGTATAAGGCAGGGAGTGACATCATCTCGGGGTCTTCACCAATGACTCCCCACACAAGAGGACTCCTGAAAACACCCCTGAATTGGGGGACCCCAGTGCTAAAGGGATTTTTAGCCTGTGTGTGAAAACCCTGGGGATTCCAAGCTGCAAAGCCAGTGTAGCTTGTGCCTTAAGAATCTGCAGCCTGCTTGTGCCATCCGTCAGGGTGAGAGATTGTGCATTCAAATCCTATCCTTCTAGCATAGGTGGCAAGTTATATGGGCCCATGGTGCCCCCGCTCCACCAATATTCAAGAACATGGGCCCAGCTCCACCAATGTTTGGGTTTATATTTAACAGAGCTGTCCCATACATAGAACGGACCAGGGCAACCACCCCACACTTTGGGGGGGGCTCGCACTTCAGGGGGAGGTGGGGTCCAGGGCGGCCTGGGGGGTTAGTGGGTGTGACGAAGTGGGGGATTTTCTTAGTTTTTCCTTGTTTTTTTCAATGGTTTGCATGCAGAGGGGGTGGGACTCAGTTTCCCTGGGTGTTACTCATTTAACGAGGTGATGGGAGAGGGAGTTTGTTGTGAGAACTTGGGACCCTGGCCAATGGCCTGGAGGATGGAGACCCCAGCGGCTGGTGACCTGGTGACCGGGAGGCCCAGCTCGGGAGTCACAGCCAGTTCTGGCCAGCAGGAGGACAATGGGCTGCAAAGAGAGGACCCCGGTGACCTGACCAGCCGGTTCCAGCCAGAGGGGGCCAGAGGATAGAAGAGAGGAGATGAGGCCCAGGCGACCCTGTTTACCTGGATAGAAGACAATGGACAGAGGTGGGACGTGGGGCCGGTGATATCAGCTACCCAGCTGGGAAGCAGGGGGGCTCGGGACTGGAGCAGAGCAGGCAGAGCCCACCTGGATGCAGGGGAGACTGGGATGTGCTGTGCTGAGGGAGGCCAGGCCTGAGGGCCCAGAGAGTTTCCTGTGCTGTGTTCAGACGCTCAATAAACCCTCCTGTTTTACGTTGGCTGAGAATCACTCCAGTCTAGAGAACAGGGCTGCATTATTCCCTCTGGGAGTGGAGGCCCTGGGGGTCCAGAGTAAGTGGACTCCCTGAGGGGGCCCACGGTGAGAGACAGACGTGCTAAGGCTCAGAGAGGTGCAGCTCCAGGAGGCGGAGAGGCCTGACCCCGAGAGAGAGTGGACCCCCGAGAAGGGCTGTCACACTGAAGGGGGTTCCCCCCAGGAACCGCATGGGGCCAAGAGTGGGCATGATCTATGAGTCAGTGACAATGTGGTAGCAGAGGATGGTTGGCGGATGCACCCTGTAGACGGTTGGCTGCAAGCGCAGGCGCTTTGCAGTGAGTGGCTGCCAGTGATAAAATGAGGGAACTGAAAGGAACCAGCCTGAAAATGGCCTAGAACCAGCTCTGTAAGAGCGACCTGGCACATCTGTGCAGGGAGAGAGGGCTGAGCGTGGGGAGGCTCACTAAGGAGCGGCTGATTGCTCAGCTTGTAGAGAATGACCAGTCTGAGGAACAGGCTCCAGACACCAGGAGGGGCTCCCGGGGTGCCCGGTGAGCTGGAGAGTAGCCGTGGGGGCAGTCCATGTAGCAGCCGGGAGTCTATCAGACACGACTCCCCAGTCAGTACAGGGAGACCCCAGTCAGGTTCCTCCCTAGAGGAGCTGCGGAGACTGGAGCTGTAGCTGAAAGCGAAGGAGCTGGAGCTGGAGGAGCGGAGGCTGGTGGACCGTGCAGAACAGCGGAAGCATGAGTTGGAGTTGGAGGAGCGGTGGGCCAAGAAGGCCTTCCAGGGGGTAAGTGGGGAAGGGCCCTGAGACGCTAGTTTTGTGGAGAATCTAGACACCAAACTGCAGCCCCAGTTCAAGGAGGTGGGGATATTGATGCCTACCTCACAGCCTTTGAGAAGTTGTGATCTGAACCAGATTGACCCCGCAGACAGGACCCCCTGCTGGGTCCCAAGGCCATAGAGGCGTTCAGCCAAATGGATGGTATTGAAACAGGGGACTACAACCTGTTCAAACAGGCTTTGCTGCTGAAGTTTGAACTGACCCCCGAGGCGTACAGGAAACGATTCCGGGGTGTATGCAAGACCTCAGGTGTCACTTACAAGGAAGTCGCCAGCCTGCTGGGGGAATATCTCCGCAAGTGGGGGAAGGGCACAGAGGCCAATACCTCGAGGACATGTATAACCTGGTGGGGTTGGAGCAGCTGTATGACATCTGCCCTCCGGACCTTAAGATGTGGCTAGTGGACCAGAAGCCCAAAGATCTGCGCAGTGCAGGGGCACTGGCAGATGAGTTCGTGGACAGCAGATCGGGGGCAGGAGGGAGACCCACATTGGGGATTCAGAAGGGGAGTCACCCAGAGACCTCTCAAAAGTGGGACTCCAGGAAGCCCAACTCAGGGGTGCCCGTGAATGCCGGGGCGGGGCGACCCCCTTCGTGAGACTTGAGGAACCTGAAATGTAATTACTGTGGCCAAAAAGGACACAAGGTGGTGCAATGCCTGAAGATGAAGGAAATGGCGGCCAAGCAGAACCCGCGGGGTGTCAACTGGGTGGAAGCTCACTGAGAGGGGGCATCACCGGTCAGGGGCCCGCAGTCAAGAGGGCTGGGCCAGGGGGAGGGGACCGCCAGGCCAGGCCAGCAGGGGAAGGGGGGGCTCCAGGTCCAGAGTGACCGTACTCAATCCGCGAGGTGAGTGTGGGACAGGCCCCGGGGGACAATCGCCACATTATCCCCATTGAGGTGGGGGGGAAGACGCGTCCAGGGGTTCTGGGACACGGGCGCAGAGGTGACGCTGGCGTGGTCTGAGGTGGTGGACCCAGACCAGCTAGTGCCCGATGCCTACATGACCCTGAGGGGAGTGTTCGGGCTGCCCCTCAAGGTGCCTGTAGCGAGGATACACCTGAAATGGGGGGCTAAGGAGGGACCCAAAGAGGTCGGGGTGCACGATCACCTGCCTACCGAGGTGCTAATGGGTAATGACTTGGAGAACTGGCCGGATGGCACTCATAGCGCCCTGGTCCTTACCTGGAGCCAGAGCCAGCGAGGGACGCGGGACCTCCCGAAGGGGGGGAACCGAAGCGCCCAGGGTAGGGCTTGACAGGGCTGGGCCGGAGCCTCCATCCCAAGGTGGGGAAACTGAGGCACCGCCAACCAGGGCTGTAGCCTCAGACCCAGCAGCTGAATTCCAGATGGACCTGCAGGAGGATCCCTTCTTGGAGAAGCTGAGGGCCCTGGCTGGCCACAGCAGTGCAGGATCCCAGGGGGAGGACCGCCGGGAGCGATTCCTGTGGGAGAGGGGATTCCTGTACCGGGAATGGGCTGACTGGAGGCAAACTGAATCTTGGAAAGCCAGGAGGCAGTTGGTGGTTCCCCAGAGGTACCGCTGCAAACTGTTGTACTTGGCCCATGATATCCCCCTTTCGGGGCATCAGGGCATCCGGCGCACCAGGCAGAGGCTGCTGCAGAACTTTTACTGGCCCGGGGTCTTTGACGTGGTCAAACAGTATTGCAAGATCTGTGACTCCTGCCAGAGGGTGGGGAAGGCCCAGGATAAGTGTAAAGCACCGCTGAGCCTTTGCCCATCATAGAGGAGCCTTTCCAGAAGGTGGCCGTGGACATAGTGGGGCCCCTCAGCAGGGTGACCCGGTCAGGGAAGAAATACATCCTGGTGGTGGTAGATTTCACTACGCGCTACCCTGAGGCAGTGGCCTTGTCCTCTATCGAGGCAGACACCGTGGCAGACGCGCTGCTGACCATCTTCAGCAGAGTGGGGTTCCCCAAGGAGGTCCTTACAGACCAGGGGTCTAACTTCATGTCAACCCTGCTCCAGTGCTTGTGGGAGAAGTGTGGGGTCCGACACACCTGGGCCTCGGCATATCACCCTCAGTCCAATGGGCTGGTGGAGTGGTTCAATGGTACCCTAAAGAGGATGCTGAAAACCTTTATGGACCAGCACCCACAGGACTGGAACAAGTATTTACCCCACCTGCTGTTCGCATACAGGGAAGTGCCCCAGGAATCCACAGGGTTTTCCCCTTTCGAGTTGCTGTACGGAAGGAGGGTGAGGGGGCCCCTGGACTTGATGAGGGACGAGTAGGAGGGAAAGGCCTCTCCCGATGGGGAATCAGTGGTGGAGTATGTACTGACTTTCTGGGAAAAGCTCGTGGAGCTCATGGGCTCGGCCAGGGGAAACCTAGACAGGGCACAGAGGAAGCAGAAGGTCTGGTATGATCGCTCAGCCCGTGCCCGCTCATATGCTACCGGGGATCAGGTGATGCTCCTCATCCCCATGAGGAAGAACAAGCTGCAAGCTGCTTGGGACGGCCCCTTCAAGGTCATCAGACAGGTAAACGAGGTGAACTATGTAGTGGAACTGTCCAACCAAGCGCTCAGCCACCGGGTGTATCACGTCAACATGATGAAGTCGTACTGGGACAGGGAGAAGTTGGTGCTGGCTGTGTGTGGGCAGTGGGAGAAGGGAGAGGATCCCCTGGTGGGACTCCTCCCTGAGGCTGGGGCTGACCCCTCACTGTAATCAATTCCCCTCTCAGACCAGCTAGCCCCTGCCCAGCAGGCAGAGATCAGAGAGGTACTGCATTCATACCGGCAGCTGTTCTCCAACCGGCCTGGGCTCACTAACCTGGCTGTCCACCGGGTGGAGACAGGAACCAACTCTCCCATCAGGTGTTTGCCATTCAGGGTCACTGGGCAAACAGCCCAGAGCCTGGAGAGAGAGGTTGGAGACATGCTGACTTTAGGGGGTGATCCAGCCGTCCTCCAGCCCCTGGGCCTCGCCCGTGGTGCTAATTCTGAAGAAGGACAGGTCAATCCGGTTCTGTGTGGACTATCAGAAGCTCAATGCCATCACTGTGTCCGATGTCTACCCCATGCCTAGGACCAATGAGATCCTAGACAAGTTGTGGGGTGCCTGGTACCTCACTACCATGGATCTTACCAAAGGTTGCTGGCATGTTACAGGATTTGGAACTCTTGTGATTTTATCACAAGTCTCTTGCAATTTCGTGCTTTACTAAAATCCCCACCTGCCAGAGTCATGTTATTTCATGAGAGTCATAGAGATGTCAGGGAGGAAGGGGCCTTGTGAGTTCATAATATAAGAAAGAATGGCCACCCTGGACACCAATGGTCCATCTAGCCCAGTACCCTATCTTCTGACAGTGGCCAATGCCAGGTGCTTCAAAGGGAATGAACAAAACAGGGCAAACATCCAGTGATCCAACCCCTATTGTCCAGTCCTGGGTCCTGGTGGTCAGAGGTTATGGGGCACCCAGAGGTATAGGGGCACCCAGAGCATGGGATTGCGTCCCTGACCATCCTGGCTAATAGGAACTTACCTAATTCTCTTTTGAATCCTGTTATAGTTTTAGCTTTCACAACATCCTCTGGCAAGGAGTTCCACAGGTTGGCTGTGCATTGTGTGAAGAAATACTTCCTTTTATTTATCAGAGGGGTAGCCGTGTTAGTCTGGATCTGTAAAAAGCAACAGAGAGTCCTGTGGCACCTTTAAGACTAACAGATGTATTGGAGCATAAGCTTTCGTGGGTGAATACCCACATGTGTCTGACGAAGTGGGTATTCACCCACAAAAGCTTATGCTCCAATACATCTGTTAGTCTAAAAGGTGCCACAGGAGACTCTGTTCCTTTTATTTGTTTTTAACCTGCTGCCTGTTAATTTCATTTGGTGCCTCCTAGTTCTTGTGTTATGAGAAGGAGTAAACAACTTATCTACTTTCTCCACATTAGTCATGATTTTATAGGCCTCTATCATATCCCCCCCTTAGTCATCTCTTTTCCAAGCTGAAAAGTCCCAGTCTTATTTGTGACGGGTTGGATCACAGAAACCGCCTTGGGACTGCCCCCTGATGCACTGAGACTAACTCTGAGCCCAATTTCCCTGGCAGCTTGGGACTTCAGTACCTTGCCTTGTTGAGCCAGACATGCTAGCCTGCTACAAACACAGACCCAGGTCTGAACCACGTCCCCCCAAGGCTGCAGGCTTAACTGAAGACAGCTTAAAACGTGCTCCTGTCTCCAGCACCCACATACCCAGTTCCCAATGGGGTCCAAACCCCAAATCCTTTTTACTCTGTATAAAGCTTATACAGGGTAAACTCAAACTCTTCACTCTCTATAATACTGATAGAGAGATATGCACAGCTGTTTGCACCCCCAGGTATTAATACTTGCTCTGGGTTAATTTATAAGTAAAAAATGATTTTATTAAATATAAAAAGTAGGATTTAAGTGGTTTCAAGTAATAACAGACAGAACAAAGTAAGTTACCAAGCAAAATAAAACACACTAGCCTAAGCCTAATACAGTAGGAAACTAAATGCAGGTAAATCTCACCCTCAGAGATGTTCCAATAAGCTTCTTTCACAGACTAGACTCCTTCCTAGTCTGGGTCCAGCAATCCCTCACACCCCCCATAGTTACGGTCCTTTGTTCCCGTTTCTTTCAGGCATCTCTTTGGGGTGGAGAGGTTATCTTTTGAGCCAGCTGAAGACCAAATGGAGGGGTTTTTAGGGCCTTTAATATTCTCTCTCTTGTGGGAGGAAAACCCTTTGTTCTCCTGTGCAAGATCATAGCCACATGTAAGACCCACACTACTTTATTTTATACAGATAAAATGGGCGCGAACTTAACAAGAGGACAAAGAAAGCAGAACTGACAAGTTTACCTGAGGCTAGACATACATATTCAATTTCCTTACTAACTTTTACAGATCTCCAGTTAATGTTCCACCATAAGCTTAAGTGGATTCATTGTTTATGCCTTAATGTTTCTTTTCCTGACACCTGTATTTCAACATTCCTTATTTCTGCTTAAAGGTACATACAGCATTTCTTTAATCCTTTCTATTTTTACAATATAATTCATCCTACTTTCACATGAAAATAGTCATTTCTCTAGAAACTGACCAAATGCTTCATTGAAGCTACCTAGAATCAAACAAGTACATTGAATATATGAAGATTGGCTCTTTTTTGACTGCCGCTGCACATTGAGTGGATGTTGAGGGACGGGGTTCATTCCTCCCCACTCTCCAGTCTCGCAGTGTTTAGCATTTCAGCGCTGCTGAGAAGTTTCCCACTCATCACGGCTGACCGGTCCCCACCGCTGGCATCCTCCGGCTGCGTCATCTCTGCCAGCTCCTGCATGGGGTTTGCGTCGCCGGCCTGCTGGAAGGAAGCCAAGACAGCTGCCGAACCAGTCTCTGCAGTGAGCTCTCTTATTTCTCTGCCATGGCCCCAGTGCCAACACCAACACCAGAAAGGCCACCACTGTCCCTACCACCACGGCTACAATATGGCTGGACTGAGATCCGGGCTCTGCAACCAACGACAGGAGAGCAGCGTTAGCGGGAGAGCTGGACAAAGCAGGCGAAAATTTCCAGCCTCTCTACCATGCTCAGTGTTCCATCCCGGCATGCAAAAGGGATTTTTCAGTTCAAGACGCTCCACAGTCCCCAGCTAATCATGGGTTTGCCGATTTTCCTGGGGCTCCGAGGCGCTACCGTAACACAGCTAATAGATATTGTACAGTGTCTACCGCTATGGGGTGTTGGGCCGAGACTGGGGTGCTAGGCACCATACACTTTAGATTAAGGTTCACTTGCTAGCTGGTTTATAAAGCATTTGTACATGGTGAATATGCGGTCTCAGCATGCTAAACACACAGGTAAAGAGTGTGCTTGTCTACACAGGGCCACTCAAGAAAACTAATCAGAATTGGCTTTTAAAATGTATTAGTTAAACCAAATTAAACCCCTGTGTGGACACTCTCCTTCAAAATTAAGGCAGCCTGAATTCTATTTAGCTTAATTCACTTCCAAAGTGAATTGAATTCAGGCCACTTCAATTCTAAATAAGAGTGTCGAAACGGGCGGGGGGGAGGGGGAGGAAGATGGGGAGGTGGATCAATGCGGTTTAGCGAATCCACTTTAAATTCAGGGCAAGTCTCTACTACAAAATTAAGTCGAAGTAATGTCGACATACAGACAGGACAGTAATTAAAACCCTTTAGCATGTCCACACTGCGCCCCTTGTGTCGGCAGCGCGCATCCCCACTGTGCCAGCGTGGGGCATTGTGGGACGGCGTCTGAAAGGCAGCAACAGGCGATGTCGTTACCGTCCCTGTATCGATCTAACTGCATCCACCCAAGCACTAGGCCTCGCGCGCAGCTGGAGTTATTCTGACGGTTCGGCGAGCGAATTCCATGGGTGGGAGCTGCCTTTCAGTGTAGACACTCACAGTTAGGGTGACGTAAGCTGCCTTATATCTACCTAACTCTGTAGTGTAGACCAGAGCCTGCACTTTGACATGATTCGGATTAATTTTCCTGAGTGGCCCTGTGTAGACAAACCCTGCAGCCACCATTCAACCCTTTCTAAATTACTTCTATGTGGAACCTCAATATAAAGTGTCACCCAAGAAATCAAGTCATAGATGGGCACGGACGTGGGGTTGGGAGCCAAGCGGTCAGTACCTGGAGGTTCTGCTCCACCCACTCTGCTCCATCGGCCAGTAGGGCAAGGAGAAGGGATGTAAAGCCATGGACGGCTCTCTCAGCGGGAGAGGGAGATCTGACCCTGCTACTCCCAGCCCTGCTGGGACCAGGGAACACAGAGACCCTCCCTCCTGGCTGCTTGTTGGCCTCTAGCTGACACCGCACTGTTCCTTGCTGTCTGGCCTGTCCATGCCTGACAGGAGCCAGGCAGGGCAATCTGCCGGGGCGCCGGGCAATCTGCCGGGGCGCCGGGCAATCTGCCGGGGCGCCGGGCAGCAGCCAGAATTAGTTGAAGATCCCAGCAGCTCAGCAGCCCGTTCCCAGCCACGTCACTCACCCCCTGCTGCCATCCCGTTGCTGAGCAGGGCCACCTGGGAGACTGGAGCTGAGGTTGGCACAGGCTCTGGAATGAGACAATGCAGAGGCGGTTGCAGCGAGCGGATGCAGAGTCCCAGGAGGTCAGGGGAGAGGAGTCCCATCCCCTCCAACTCCTTAAAATCTGCCCCCCAAATGCCACTTTGCAGAGTGAGAGCAGGCTTGGGCCGAGAGGGACTGCGATAGAGCGTCTGGGCCAGCCCCCTGCGCTGAGCCCGGACCAGTTACCCTGGACCCCAGCCCTGGCAGGGGGTTTGTCCAACCTGTTCTTAAAAGCCTCCCATGACAGGGATTCCCCAACCTCCCTTGGAAGCCCACATCTGTGCAGTGCCCGGCCCAACAGGGCCCGATCTCGGCGACTCTGTGTCTGGGCAGCGCTCGGCCCGACGGGGCCCCGATCTCAGCGACCGTGTTAGGGTGACCAGATGTCCCGATTTTATAGGGACAGTCCCGATTTTTGGGGCTTTTTCTTATATAGGTTCCTATTACCCCTCACCCCATCCCAATTATTCATACCCAATCTCAGTGACTCTGTGTCTGGGCAGAGCCTGGCCTGACAGTGCCCCGATCTCGGTGACTCTGTGTCTGGGCAGCGCCCAGCAGTGTGGGGATCACTTAAAGAAATGGCTCATCTGTCCCCAGGACCTGCCAGGAACTTGAGTGGTTTGAAAGTCCAACCTCCACCAGAGCCTGAGGTCAGAGCTGGGGCTGATCTCTGTTAAGCTTTCAGCGGGCGTGTTGGGCCATTTGTTATTTTCTATAGGTTTTCTCTGTGCTGCTAATGTAGCCTATTAGACTTGTTTTACATAAAATATAATATTAGTGATAAACAGAAAGGTTAAGGTGGATTACGTGATTAGAGTATTGAGTAGAATGTATCTGGGTTATATTGATGATGTGGATATTGTTACTTCTTCTCTTTTCTTTGCTGTACCCTGCCAGCCACCCTCTCTGGCTAGCAGAAAGGAACGGCCTGGCACCACAGGGAAATACGCATTGGGTAAGCTGAGACGGTCATACTCCGATGGTAAGGCAGGAACAGACCATAACTTATTCTGATCATTTCTTTTACCATAGGACAAGGATTTTATTACAGTGTCCGCTATAAGGCCTTGCTTCTTGTATGCACTGCAAGCTAAGTTGTGCTTCTTGTCTGCATTGCAAACTAAGTTGTGTAAGGTTCTTTTGTAACCTCTTTAGTAACCGTAAAAAGCAACAGAGGGTCCTGTGGCACCTTTAAGACTAACAGAAGTATTGGGAGCATAAGCTTTCGTGGGTAAGAACCTCACTTCTTCAGATGCAAGTGAAGACTTCTGTTAGTCTTAAAGGTGCCACAGGACCCTCTGTTGCTTTTTACAGATTCAGACTAACACGGCTACCCCTCTGATACTTTAGTAACCGTATAATCCTTTCTAAAATGTAATCCTGTCTGAAATTCTCTGTAAAATTGTTTGGTGTGAGTCAAGGCTGTGTGCATGGTTAAGGATGAGTGTCAAAACCATCACAAATGGCCAGCTGGTCAAGAAGTGAGAGACTTGGAAACATCAGAAAACATCCATTGTATCCGATGCTAACCGAGTTAGCAGATTTGACAACCCTAGAGATGAGACAAACATCCCCGAAGGCAAGACAACAAACAAAAGATCACGATGGGAAAAGCCAACAATAATCATCAAATGATTATGACTATTGCAAAATCCATAGACTCGAATGGGAACGTACAAGTATAGAGCTGGGGTGCTTTGCTATGGGACTCTGGGTTCAGTCCTGCAAAGCCTCGGAGCATCGGATTCGCGATTAGATTGACTTGAGCTACGACAAACTGGTAACTGTTGCGGTGTGTAAGGGTTAAGTAAAGACCTGGGTGACGGCTACCATGGTAACGGGGCGTAGGGCACAGGTGAGCACGATTTCTTTTGCTTGATAGATAAAGTGGCCATCCTGTCCCTTCCTTTTTGCTTGTTACAGATAGATAAGCGTTGCAGACGCATAAGAAATGTGGCTGTCTAAAGAATCCCCTCTGTGGGAACTGGTGTTCTCTCGCCTCTCCCTTCTTTCTCCCAGCTACATCAAATGTGTTCAGGGTCGTGGCCCCCATAAGCTGCTGATTAAGGAAATCTGTAACTATAAGGATTGTAACAGCGCCAGCGCGATATGGATGTTATTAACAATAAACAGGATCGGGTATAATTCTATATATAGTTATTAATATTCATACTACTAAATAAGGGTGTTGGGGTGTTATAGTAGATCTATGTATTTGCATATTAACTTGGATAAAAGAGTGTAATGTGATTAACCTGGTGCTTACTTGATGGGTTGGGTCGAGGGGAACAAGTACTGCAACTACAGAACGCCACTAGCCGTCACCTTCAGCCCCCCACTAAAACCTCTCCAGCGCATCATCAAGGATCTACAACCTCTCCTGAAGGACGATCCCTCACTCTCACCGTCCTTGGGAGACAGGCCAGTCCTTGCTTACAGACAGCCCCCCATCCTGAAGCAAATACTCACTGTGACGAACTGGGTCTGTTCTTACTGTGGTCTGTGAATGCTGACAG